AATCACTCGGCGTTAGCAATCCACCAGTAAACTGAAAAGGAAGAAAAAGTGCCGAATCGTAACTTAACATCGCTACTTACTGCTTCCCACTCAATCACCTTCCACCTCACACTCAAGCATTTTAGCCAAACTGTTGCAGTAAGTCTGAGAAACATACTCGTTGAGTTCCGCCTCGTTCCCATAAATACGTTTTCTATGCAATATATTTGTTTGTAGGCTCGGGTGAGCGATGACACTACCTTTGCTGCTTACCACTTAAAAACTTACAGCTCTCAAGGACCGCACAATATCGCTCAACTTCTCCAGCTAAAACCAAACACCATTGATGCAAGAATAATACATTCACATGACGTAACTTCGTATTCTACCAAGGAGGACACTTGTTGCGGAAAGCTTCCGTGATTTTTGTCGAGTCATCGCCGAATACGTGCTATATGTTAGAAACCAGTGCAGTGGCCTCAACACAGAGTACAAAAAGGGAGTACGTGTTGCAGTCAAACCAGCTGAGGGTTCCAGAGGCTATGGTACCGGTGCCAATGTCTTGATTATGTCTTGCAAGTATGACTTAGAAACTACTGGAGTAGAGAGGATGACAAGTTCAACGCGGCATTGGGAACTGACACTGCTAGTTATCGGTTCTGGAGGCAACTGCTCAGCTGTCTCGAGGGATGTGGTGCGAGCTGAGAAGATGAAACTTACCTCGGCTCGAATAAAAGTCGCTGCGCCATGGTTAGGAGCATGGCGCGCCATCGCGTTGTGTTCATTTCCTGAAAATACGATCCACCTCCTAAGTCCATCCTCAAATGCTACCCCCCCTCCATCGCGATCAAATACGATCCCCCCCTGTGATCATCACAACGATGGCGTGTCCTGGTCAGGATCACACTGCTGACATTTCATATGACATTCTTCAACGCACAAGGGTAGGACAACCAACTTTGCCATGGCCATTAAGGTGATATTTATACTCCTAGTAAGGTCTTCAGATATTAGATCTGACTTACAAATCTGCTAAAGGATTCTGAGGGAGACGTAGCGGACCCTTTTTGCTACTGTGCTGAGCAGTGCGGTGCGCCCCTGCCCATACATTGCACTTGTGAACCACTGTGAAACAGCTGGTGATGCGCTTCGACGTGGGGCCACAGGAGTGTAATAGACTGATAGCCTTGGGACGATGGTTCAGACCCTTGGTGCGTAGTTTTACTTCTTCTTGAAGCGTAGCCAAACACTTGGAAAGAAGTTTTACGTAATAGTTCCTATTGGGGCCCCTCTCTACACCTTTACAAGTCCTGGGAATGAATCTTGAGAGGAATTTCATTTCGACTTCAGGGAGAGCAATCAAATGGATAGGTTTGATACAAAAGATTTGTTTGACGCATATATTGATGAAAATAGTGTTGGAAACATTGGAGCGGATGCGCCATATAGTTATACTGATTACAAAATGAGTGTAATTGAACATAATTAAAGAATTTTGTGTAAGCTGAGAGTTGAACAGCCTCGAGTTCGCCATCTTTCTTTTACCTAGTCTCGTGAATTCCGGATAGTCGGTTATCTGTTCGCAATGGAGCGTAACCTGGACGGTAGTAATTTGTCTAAATCTCGCAATCAAATGCGCTGAGTTGCTCGCAGTTATGCAGAACAACGAGACGATGTATGAGCGAGGCAACCACGCTGGAAAAAACGACTCGCCTAGGCATTGGCAAAACTCGCTCAGCGGTCGGTCTATCGATCTCATCACATGCGCCAGTGTAGCGCGCACAATTGGCACTAGAGCTAATGCCTTATTATGCCCGACTTAGCGGCGGTCCCTGGTAACAAGCAATGAACTGAACATGGCAGAACACTTATGTTTTCAGTCAAATTAGTTAGTCAAATTTTCATTTTTTTTATTCTCACCTCCATCCCCCTAGTCGATTAGGGTAATCGGCTACATCATTTCATATTCTAATGGCACATCTTTATATGATATTTGCATTTTTTCTAATCACCCCTTGTACCCGTTTTACTAGAAAATATTTTCACTTTTTTCAAAGTTTCTCTTCAACTGTGCAATGGATGGCCACGCCCTCCCCACATCTACGACTTTACATCTACCGGGGCATCACCCAACACCCACTTTTGTCCCCCCGCTGTAACCTAGGCCTGTGATCTACGCATTCTGGACTTGGAAAGCTGTTGAAGCAACTCACAGAGTGCGCGCATGTTCGAAAATCCTCCGGAGGACTGGAAAGCTGTTGAAGAACCCCCAACTCGCACCACAGAGATGGCCATCTTTGAAAAGTCCTCTGGAGGACTTTTCACTGCACAGAACGGCGACTATCTGCGTCTCTCCGTTTCGCGTAATGTCTCCACCCTCGTGGTTGAGAACTCAAGTGCGACATCATAACGTCGCAGTTCAACGGAGGATAGCAATGTTCACCTCAGGTCGTGGTAACGACCACCCAACCTCGACCTTTCTTAATAAAGTCTCTGGAATAGGCGTTTTGGACAGTCGCGTCCCCCCTTACCGGCGACGCTGATGGTTACTCCTGAACTGGCCAGTTTATGCAATACCACAGTCCCTGCTCTTAATGCCCGAGAGTAGACGGCTTCTCTTTGCATCAGATCGGTAGAAGGCCTCAGCTCTATTCACCTGAAGCACAAGCATACTATGCTGTGAACTTCAATACCCCATAAATGAGACTATGAAAACTTTTAGACTACGTTCATACTTTATGGCAGCATCCACCAGCGACAGATAGCATCCACCAGCGTCAGCGACTAGAAAAGTATAGATATCGATCTAGCGTCTTCCAGTGTCCCCAGCGTCTACCAGTGTACGGGAGAGGAGAGGGTTAGCCATAATTGGTACGATCGCCCCTAATTAAGAGGTGACGCGTACCTGGCAGCGAGACAGCCTTAATGAGGTGCGAAAACTTGGTGTCTAGCTGCGAGATGACCTGATGCGATGTATAACGGAAGAGGGCCCAGAGGTCATCCTGTTATCCACATATCTTCGCAACGAAAGCAGAAAGATCAATAAATCGAAGGAAGCAACAAGTAAATGCAAATTTTCAAAAAAATGTACTGGAAGAAAATATTGGTATTATAAACTTATCAACTCAGACTCAACGCAGTATGTAGTAGTCACAATTAGTAATCAGGAAATGTTGGGGACCTCTAATATTGGGAATTCTCGTATCGCCACTGAATAGCGTCTGGAAGTCTGAAAGTGAACTCTACACTAAAAGGGTTCAGCCCACAGAAACAGATACACTTATTTATTTTCAACAAACTCTTCACTTCTGCATATTGCTAATATGTTGGTGCTAATATGCATAGTGCTTGACTTCGAAAAGGCAGCTATTCATGCTGCCAAAATGGTCTTCCCTACCGCGTCCGTGGAATGCTGTGCATTTCATCTGGCCCAGGCCTGGAACCGAAAAAGGAACGCACTCACACTCAAGAAGTACATCGAAGACCCCGAAAGAGATGCTCGCTTCGTAAAGTGGTGGGAAACGTTGAAAGGTTGCATCATTATTTTTCTTCAGTAGCTCCGCCATTATAGGTTTAAATATTTTTAGTACTACAAGGAATGGTTTTTCTCCCACAAGGGCTACTGCGGGATGTACGAGCCCTGCACAATCCTCCAGTACCCAGCGACCACAGTGCCTATGCAGACTGCCAGGAGTTCCTAGATTATTTGAGGACTGACCGATATTCAAAGGATTGTGGTGCGGATGGGGTCCTTGATAGTTAAGAACAACCAACTTGGCTGAGGTGTATGAAGTTGTCAGTTGCCAAGTCTGCCTCTAAATGCAAAGTAAACAAAAATTTTTCAGGCGGGTCCAAGTGCTTGCATCGGTCCACCACCCACCATTGAGCATCTTGATCGATATTTTGAAGAAGCTCAATTATGAGGCTAAAGCTGCTCTCACGCGCCTCAAA